CTGACGTGAGTCGCGGGCTCGTCAATGCACACGTGAAGCGCGGGCTCGTCGTGACTGACGTGAACCAGCGGTGAAGACGACGAGGGCTTCGCGGGTAAAGTACACTCGGCAGGTGTCGAGTAGAATAAGCGGGCAGTAGTGAAGAGGTCCTGCAAGGAACAAGCCCGAGCGACATACCCGTCAAGAGTCCAGTTGGCAAGGTCCCGCGGCATCCATCGAGCGATCTCATAATCCAGCCCATTCAGAAACAGGCCCATGAGCTGGATATCATCTAGCGCTCCCAGACTGCTAATGGACAGGAACTCCTTCGCGTACCTTTGGACAGACCGGCCCTCTTGCAAGACTGACGACAGGTATTCTGTCATAGCCCGGTTGCTGACGACTGCTGGACCCATATTGAGGTTGGTTATTCTGTGACGCTGTGCGGAGAAACAGAGCTGAGGCTGGGTCCAAACGCAGTGTAGCTTTATTAAACAAACTTAAAACAAGACACTAGAAGCAAGACTCGAGAGACGTGAAAGCACCAACGTAACACACATAAATTCAATAACCAACAAAGACCGGGCAGAAACACAGGGCTTAAAACAGGTGAACTAAACAAGATGATAAAACACAGGTGCATGAAATAAACCATAATCAGTCCAGGGTAAAACATGAATGAAACAATAAACTAGGAAGGAGTGCCCCCCAGAGGCTCAAGCGGGCACTCCAGCCGCAGATCGTCACATATACAGTTTTCTAGTTTTTAAGATAAATTTAATCTAAAAACATGTATTATAATGTTCAGCTAGCCAGTAAAATTTTAACTGGCAAAAGCACAAATAAAACCTCCTTTTAAAAGCTCCTCTTTATTCAGCAGATATGAGCTGACTTATTTATTTATTCATTTAAAACTCAAACATCTGCCTTTCTCTTAACATTATTATTTGTTTTGTACTCTTTCTTGTTTTTGTACCAATTCCTCGGAACTGGAAATCGCAGTCACACTAGATCTGGCACGTGAAAGCTGAGATAGAGCTGAGCCCGTCCCAACCCCCGCTGTCAGATCCATTTGCAGACCCCGAAATGCGAGTCGTCTCCGTGCCTCGGAAACAGAGAGACCTGCGTGGGGAACGCGAACCGAACTGTCCTCCTCGGAGAACGCCCGGCGGGAGCGGAGCGTCCTCGCGGACAGCTTCTCGCAATGCCCACAGTCAGCTCCCTCAAGAACTGACTGCTGGCATGCTCCAATCCCAAACATTGCAACAAATAGCTGAGGTGTGTCCCCACCCGTGATGTAACGAGGGCAGGGAACCACACACCGTCTATAATCTTGCTTGCCATAAATATAGATAGTGATATATATTTCTTTTCTTGGCTTTGACAAACAACAATAAATAGACAAGGACAGAGTACAGAGATCACTTGCTGAAGGCTACAGAAGCTGTCGCGGTCTGATCTCAAGGGTGGTTTATAGTTTCCTGGTCAATGACGTCACCTGACATCCTACTCTCTCATTGGACTGATTGTACAGAAGCTTCACGACGCAATCACGCAGAGCGTTCCCATCGCGTTTGACAACGCAGCTCGAAGTTCCCTTGAAAGGGAACAACTTTTCCGCCTGTCTGTTCGTCACATCACATTCGTTTTCTATCACATGGCTTCAGAAAACTTGAAATAAAGCTCATGAGTCACACCCCTCTCCCCACCCTACTCCAGGCTGTCTTTTAAAAGCAATTTAATCAATTATTGCTTTGATGAAAATTGATGCGAAATCGATAATCAGATGCATGAATCTGTGCACTCTGATTGTGGAGATGCTTTGTGATTTTTGTTTTTTACATTACTCTACAGTCATTGTGCGGTTTTGCCCTGGAGCGCATATTGTTTTCAGTAAAACACGTGATCAATGTGTCGGATTGTTTGAACCCAGACCACTACTGGGTTTATGGAAGTTTAAGTCCATTTACTTCGATATTTTTATAAGCCTATATTACATTATCAGTAACAGTAAACGGTATAAAAAATCCTCAAACAACTCTGTTAGTAAATAGTATTATTATAATTATCATTGCTGTCACATTTAATTTATTGCTACACTTTATTATGTGAATTATATTATCAAAAAACTTAACATTTAGCATTGTCAGGCTTTTTATTTGTGCTTAATGGATAAAACAACGGAGTTGAGCTCAAATGCACTATTTTGGACACTCTTGATGCTTTGAATCTTTTCCCGAAACAATCAGAGAAAAGATTTAAGAGGCTTAATTTCTCCATCCGTACTCAATAGTTTTAGGCCTCTTTGTAAATTTTTCAATCAAGTTCAGTTATTTTCGAGGGCATTTAGTCATTTTGAACCTGGTTTTAAACTGTTTTTAACTATCTATAATGTCATTTTTCACCAATGAAACCAAACTAAACTAGCCAATTAGATTTATTTCCACCCATCCCCCATCAATGTAGACACATTGCAAACATTTGACTTAACAACACACAAACGCCCACATTAATTTTATCCTCATTTCTTCCTTTCTCAGATCACAAGTATACAGTACACAGAAAGATTAATAATCAATTTAAAAAGAATCTAAAAAATAATACGCCATTAATTTCCATCCTCTTATGGTATGCCCAGCCGTATTGCTGCAGGTGTTGCTTAGAGCTGGTATCGTACTGCCGGAGGACTAGCATAATCGTGCTCAAGCAAAACTGAGCTGGCAAAATCCCATGCTGGTCCCAGTATGCAAAACAAATCTTCTGCTGGTGACCAGTGAAGCTGGATTTTTAGTAGGATACATGGATTAATTTTATGACACTTTGAAGCTTGAAATCTTCAGTCTATGAAATGTGTATTTTCTATGATATTGTCGAGTATCACTCACTTTTCAAAAATTAAAACAACCAAACAGAATTCTTGATTTAATGACCCCATACATCCTGTCTGGATACTTTCACATACTCTCTAAATAGGTACTTATTTTACTACAAAATTAACTGCTACAAAAGTACAGTATTAATATGTGTAGTATTATGAATTTGATTCAAACATACTAAATTATCCCTTTTGTCACTGTCATATGAATTAAAAGTTGCTCCATTACCATTCACAAATCCTCTCCCGTGGCCTCATGGGATAGTAAAGTGCCCATCGTATTTACACTTCACACTATCTTCACTGTTAGTAGTAGGTCAACCAGTGCATTGTTTAAAAAAAATAAAAAATTAGCTGTACATGTTTGGAACGGCATGACGGTGAGTCAATGTAGATTTTTTGGTTTTGGCTGAACTATCACACTAAATAATAGCCACTGACTTTCAGCATATTCTTCTTGCTTTTCTACATCTTTGTGTGGAAAGTTGGAGCTCTCTATGTCACTATCAACAACGTCTCAATTTTTGGTTGGTTGCTTTGTCCAAAATAGCTGAACACTTGACAGAAATAAAATATCTTATCACAGCTTCTCAGCTAATGCGACTTGCATTTATGTTGAACGAACCCCAAGACAAACCTCTGATCAGGCAGAAGGGCAAAGATCTTTGGTTACGTCAGCCATACGCTTATATTTTCCAGCATTGTTTTTAACGTGTCACGCGAACCATACGCAGTATCACATTGTTATTACAGTTCTTTCTTTTTTAGTACAGGAAGTGATGTGACAAGGTGCAGCATGGATCTTACTGCCCTTTACACATGGTAGCTTCCTTTGAATGATGTACTGTGGCTGCTGTGTGCCTGAGGATGCCTATAACTTTACATAGTCTGTCCTTGTTAATATTCTTTGGAGCCTCCTGGGGAAAGAGTGTTTGATTTGATAAGTGAACATCTTGCAACCATGTTTCCTGACCGCTGTTAGCATTGATTGACACCTAGTAGCTGTTGATTGCAAGAATGGCTGGACTGAACAGGTGACAGAACGGTGCAGTTAAAAGCGTGTTCCCTTAGTGTCAGCTATACTCGTTCAAATTTTGCTGACACCTCAGGGCCTGGGCGAAAGCAGGGATGGGACATATCAGTCCACAAAACAAAGAACAAACAACACAAAACAATATTTGGAAAGGGTGGACTTCTTATTAAAAAGACCTTCACCTTATAATGGCTGTGGGATTTTAATTGAGAGGATCAGTTTGCCGGAAATGTGTCTAGGCTGCTGATACATGAAGTACAGTCATAAAAGATAATCAATCTGTCATCACAAATGATGATTTATGACTGTCCTTGTTTGAAAGACAGTAAAAAATAGAGCATTTATTAACACTGTGAAGTAATGCCAAGTAAAACAATGAGTGCTCTAAACAATCTTTATGACAATCTAAAAATAATGTCCATTACTTAAATCAGCTGTTTTTTAAGAGGAAAAGTTTTACTCCTGTTATATTGTCACTTCTGTAAAGTTATTATTGTTATTGTTGTTATTATCATTGCAATAATTGATTATTTTAAAAAATTATTTATTTATTTGCATTTTTTTCAGATTGCTAAAGTGTAATTTATTTAGCATTCCTTTTCAATTATTAAAATAGCTTGAAGCTCTTCTTGTTTTTACTTTTTTATGGCAGGCTACAGTAAGTGAGATCATTTTAAAACTGCACTTTTAACATCAATATTTTAAACGGTTAAACTTAAAACGCAAACTAGTTATTACTTATTCACACAAGTATTTATTTATCAACATTTTGTAATTTTTATTTATTTATTTATTTATTATTATTATTATTTGGATATTATTTCAGAACCTTTTTCTAAAACTTTTTCAAATGGGTATAAATCAAGATTTTTATTACAAATAAACTGTACATAACTGTTTTGAGGCAGATGAGTAGAGGGTTTTAGGTGGTCTGAAAATTTAGTTTCGCAAGTTGTCCGCCAACTGAACATGTCTGAGAACCACTGGGTTAAGGTTAAGGTTGAGGATTGGATTAACTGCTACCAGCTATAAAAGTCTGCTTATCTAAGCAGTTAAATTGTATTTCTGTATTGCTCTCAGACCCGTTCATCTCTGCCTCTTTCTCCTCTGAAGATGAGCCCAGCTTGTGTTACGTCTACGACGGTGATGGTGTGTGTGAGGACTTTGAGCGGGAGGTGAGTGTAAGGGACTGTGGTCTCTTTACCCCAAGCGGCTTCCTGGATCAATGGGCCACTGAGGTGCTGGTGTCCAATGAGGAGAAGATGCACTGTCCAGCACAGGTGGCTGTCGGATATCCTGCAGTGACGAAGGTGAGACCACGTATTACCACGTATGCTTAAAGAGACATTGGCCTGGTTTCACAGAACGGGTTTATATTAAACCAGAATGAGGCCTGGACATTTAAGAACATTTAAGTAGCTTACATAAACATGCCTTAGATATAAACATTACTGTTGTGCTTCTTGAGACAAAACAATGGCATTGACATAATTTAAGATGTGTCAGTGCAACTTGTTTGGGTCTAGGCCACATCTTTGAAACCGGGGGATGAACTTTTACAAGCATAACTTCACATGTGCACAGTGTTGAAGACTCATCCTACAGGATGAGTTTTTTTTTTCTTTGAATTATGTATAGTATGTATATTTTCTATACTACTGTAGTTGTTCTTAATATTTTGAATTGACTTATTTTGAATATTTTGATTTGATTTGAGATTCATTTTAGCAATTTTGTTTTGTTCTTTTTAAACATTACTATTTGTTTTAATATGCATTTTAGTACAGATTTAGTTTTTAATGATTTTAAATTTGTATTATCTAATTGGTATTTTTAGGATTAAACAAAATTAACATTTTTCATTTTTAAATCTAATATTATTAAGTTTTACATTTACATTTATTCATTTAGCTGACGCTTTTATCCAAAGCGACTTACAATTGCTATATATGTCAGAGGTCGCACCCCTCTGGAGCAACTAGGGGTTAAGTGTCTTGCTCAATCATCACCACCCCAAAAGAAAAAAGATTTTTTTTTTCTAGTTGTATTTCAATTAACAAAAAAGTTTTTTGTTTTAGTTTTAGTTAACTTATTAACTAAAAAAGCCTTAAAACCTTTTTTTTAAATCTGTACTAAAAGATATTAAATATTAAAACAAATATATATTTGTTTTAATATTTAATATATTTTAGTACAGATTATACAGATACAGATATATATATATATATATATATATATTAAATTAAATACATTTTAATTAATTAAATTAATTAAAACTAAATATTACGCATAATTTTCCACTAAAATAATGCTCTCTAGATTGAGAATGTCCCTCCCACTAATATCACTTGTAATCGACCAGCAAGAAGCAAATCATTATGCATGACTGCAATGAAACTAAAGGTCAATGGATATTTTAAAAAGTCCCATTCAAACTTACCATGAAGTAAGAAAAACACATAAACGTAGAAAAGGAAATCACTTTCTTAGCCATTTTATGTGGTCTTTCAAGGAGAAAGGGAAACGAGCAGCTATTATTTATGAACTGAAGTGAACAGAAAAATCTCAGATCTAAAATATTGTGTTTATATTGACGATGAAGTCAGATTGAAATGTGTAGTTTTTCACAATAAATGGCTGAGAAACACATTCTGTTAAGGAGAGATTTGAGAGATTGCTCTAACCCTTCACACATGGAAGTAGTAAAGAATTGGCTCTTTCTGAGGGACGTCTAAAAAACTGTGTTGTTTTACTCCCTGGATATTTCAACATGATACATTTGTAATTTTACAGTTTTATTGGCCACTTCTCCACCTCTTCTCCCCCCTCTCATGATGTTTGTGGAGCGCGAGTCTCCTGCGCCCGAAATCGTGCAAGCACCTGAATTAATCATGTCACAAAACTATTCCTATCACGCTGTGCGCAACCTAAGGATTTATGGCACTGAGAAATGCCCATTTTTCACAGTTGAGCTTGAACCTCATTGTGGCTTGAAAATGCATATTGTGGCTCATAATGGGATATGGTGGCACACAGGTTACAATGACTTTGAATATTTAGTCTTGCCAATAAACCTTTGTGTTGAGTTTGTACTGTTACTTCATGGTCTTGCAAGTTTTTATTTAACATGAATTTAAATCTGTTCGAGTTTAAAACAGACTTGCCACTTAAGTGAATCAGTTGGTGATCAATGTTCTTCACTTGTTGTGTGGCACAGCAGCCTACAGAGTTTCAGTACGGAATCGTCGGTCTGCGTACAGTAGTGTACTTGAATCAATGGAGGGGTGGTGGTTGAATGGGGAACAGTGTCACTGAGGTTACTGTGGAGTGCTGAGAGAGAGAGAGAGAGAGAGAGAGAGAGAGAGAGAGAGAGAGAGAGAGAGAGAGAGAGAGAGAGAGAGAGAGAGAGAGAGAGAGAGAGAGAGAGAGAGAGAGAGAGAGAGAGAGAGAGAGAGAGAGAGAGAGAGAGAGAGAGAGAGAGAGAGAGAGAGAGAGAGAGAGAAATCTCAAGAGACGGGAAGAGTGAATCTAGGAGCGCAGAAACGAATATCCTCTCATTCTCTTTTTTTCACCCCATTTCTCGCTTTCTAAGTCTCTTTTAAGCATTACATCAGAATTCTCTAGTTTTGCAGCTAATTTTGTAACGCTTCATTCAAATTTTATAAGGCATTTAGAGATGAAAAAGATGTTATGAATCCCCCTGCTCCAGTCAGCTCTCAGCTGTCTTAGAGTATTGAATGAAGTGAATTGCCGGTCTCTCACTCAAATTCATGTAGCCTAATATTACATCACCTCTAGATCTGTGAACTGCACAATGATTCCACTTTGAGAGACAAATTCATTTCTGTCTAGAATGATTATGTCCACAAGAAATGTAAGAATGGCTGGTGAAATGTTTTTAATTGTTTCAAAAATTAAACGATGATACTAACAAAGAATGACATGTATTAATATTGGTTTCCTGCAAAAATCTGCAAAAGTCTTCTCTTATTTTCAGTAAAAAAGAAAACAATCCATCAAATATATTTAAATAATTAAAATGTTGAGAAGTTGCTTAAAACAAGAAAAAAAAATAGTTATGGGGAAAGAAAAATGAATTTCTCATTTAATGAAGCAAATCAGACAAATTAATCACAGAAAATCAAATTCTAATTTTTCTGTATAATTTGAGTCATAAATGTATGTGTAGAAGTTAAAATGAATAAAAAAACCTGAAGTTTGAAGTTATTGTTGATGTTAAACAGGGTGATAAATGTTTGGAGGGGAAATGAGGTCAAGGTAAAGGCCAAAGTTACCAGCACAGCTTTACTGCTAAAAAAGCAGAAAATACCCTTTGGATATACCACCCCAAAAATCCTGGGGACGTCAAATTGTGCAGTTGTAGGAGACAACTTTAGCTTTACCACTGCTGCCCTGATCTGCTCCCACTGCTATTGCTCATACACATACATCGAACACATTATTCGTGCCATTTACTCTGTGAGGAAGCGTGCAGCTCACCAGTGTCACCTAGCGTTGCAACACTGTCACCCCACAGTTGGGTTCAAGGGGTTCAGTGAGGTTCTCTGTCAGATTATTCTACAGTGAAATGAAATGCACTCGACACATTTCACTGTGAAACAGGGGCGTAAAGTTTAGAAGACTTCAACTAGGAATTACAGTAGCTGTTCAATTACAGTTTTTCTCAATTGCTTTGGCTCAGTTCTCAAATGTTTTTTTTTTATTTCCCAAAACATTAAGTTCATATCTCTGAACAATTCGCTTCTTGTTCACATCAGATTGGAATTTCTTATTGATTGAGAAAATTGCAAATGCTTTGACACATGTGTGCAAAGAGTACATACAACTGTCTGCAGTTTGGACAACAAATAATTGTATATGGCTTGTTGATCAAAACTGATGACTCGATTCTTACTTACACTGTCAAACACTTCAGAACTTCTCAGGCATTTTTTATTGTGTAAGCCATCACATTCAAAACGATCTATTCAATTATCATAATTAGTATACATGAATGTATATTCTAAAATATATCTGACATTGACATTGTTTGTAATGTTTGCTAAATTGGCACATGACTTCTAATTGCATTCGCAATCTAATTTCAAATTACCTCTAATATGAATCAACCATTTAACCATTTAACCAATCAACTTTGGGAATATATATATATATATATATATATATATAGAGAGAGAGAGAGAGAGAGAGAGAGAGTATATATATATATATATATAGAGAGAGAGAGAGAGAGAGAGAGAGAGAGAGAGAGAGAGAGAGAGAGAGAGAGAGAGAGAGAGAGAGAGAGAGAGAGAGAGTATATAGAGTATATATGGAATGGAGGACATTCACAACCCTGAACTGCAGCAACATGCTCATGGAAGAGCAATTGGAAGGCATGTAAGAATACGTGGTGGTGGTAGAGGAAGAAATAATCGAGGAAGAGGTGGAAATAGAAGAGTCAGAGTCTCTGATGAAATCAGAGCCACACTTGTGGATCATGTCATAAATCTGACCATTGCAGGGGATGGGTGCGGCATTCAAGGAGATTTTTTCCACTGTGTGTGGCAATGGTAACATCAGATGTGAAGTTGATAAATCTTTGGCCTGACCAACGTGAGCGAAAAGATGTCCACCAAGAATAATTTGTTTCTTTTTTTTTTTTCCATGAATGTTATTTGTTGTTTGTCTATTTGTGGTAATACACAAATATGAAATGTAAAGTGAAATCTTGTTACTCTTGTCAGTTACTTTACATGTACAGTAAATACACTTGTATTGTGTATAGACATGAAGTACAAAAATAAACACTGCAAAAATATAAATGTTCATAGAATTTTTTTTTCTACATACTATTGACTTTTCTCAACAAATATGAGATTTGTTTACAGTAAACCCTTAATTTTCATGGTTGACTGTTGTGGTGAAAAAACAACTAAACATTTTGACCAGTGTGGCTCACACAATGACAAAAATACATTAGATTTTGGTGGCCTTGGCCAAATTATTGACAAAATAACTAGGTTTTGAAGTATGAATTACATGTTTTGGGTGAGTAACTACATTTTGCAGACATGCTATAAAGTTTTGAAGTTCCTGAAAACTTTAATTTGGATCCAACATGACCCTCCCTGTAAGCTTGAATGATTGGTGAACTTCATTCTTATACAGAGAATTATAATTCAGAAACTCAACAGTCGTGAAACTATGGTGAGTACTGGCCAGTTCTAATCCTATTGCGGTGTGCTCACGATTCTCAGGAAAATATAGTAGGTCGGTTCACCTTTTCACCCGGATTTCACTGGCTTTC